CTTTCCTCATCACTCTGGGTGTCCACGACGTCCCCCCTCCCTAAATCCTTGGGACCCTATTGTCCCCCCTGTCCCCCCCCCCTCCATTCATCCCATTGTTGTCCACCACAGCCCCAGTCCTTGGCTCAGTTCGGGCGCCCCAAAATCGATGGGGAGCTGAAGGTGTGCAGCAGTGAGAGGCGCTCCAAGGCGGACAGGTGGGACAGGGGACAGCGAGGGGACATGGGGACAGTAATGGGAATAACGTGGGGACACCACGGGGATATGGGGACAGCGGTGGGAATGTCATCAGGAACACCACGGCGGGGGGGGAGGGGGGGAATTCGTGGGGACAGCAGTGGGAATGTCATCATTGAGCATCGTGGGATGTGGGGACAGACATGGGGACGCCATGGGGACATGAGGACACCCATGGGGACATCAATACGGACATCTTGGAAAGACCATGGGGACACCAGAAAGAACATCATGGAAGGACCAGGGGGACACAGGGACACCCATGGGGACACTATAAAGGACATCGTGACAACACCACGAGGACATGAGGACACCCATGGGGACATCAGTGGGGGAGCACCACAGGGACATGGGGACATCAATAGGAACATCACGGAAACACCTCAGGGACATGGGGACACCCATGAGGACACCAATAGGGACATCTTGGAAAGACCATGGGGACATGGGGACACCCACAGGGACATGAATAGGGACATCTTGGAAAGACCATGGGGACATGGGGACACCCACGGGGACACCAATAGGGACATCTTGGAAAGACCACAGGGACATGGGGACACCAGGAGTAACATCCTGGAAACACCATGGGGACACCCATGGGGACATCAATAGGGACATCTTGGAAAGACCATGGGAACATGGGGACACCCATGGGGACACCAATAGGGACATCTTGGAAAGACCACAGGGACATGGGGACACCAGAAAGAACATCATGGAAGGACCAGGGGGACATGGGGACACCCATGGGGACACCATAAAGGACATCGTGACAACACCACGGGGATATGGGGACACCCACGGGGACACCAATAGGGACGTTGTGGAAACACCACGGGGACACCAGCAGGGACACCCCAGGGATGCTGTGGGGTGTGGGGTGGCCCTTGGTGACCCTTCAGTGTCACTGTCCCCAGGTACGGGTTCCTCCTGGACAAGGCTCTGATCATCTGCAAGCGCCGTGGGGACGCTTACGAGGCCAAGGATGTCGTGGATCTACAGAGCCACCAACTGAGGGACAGTGGCCTCGGGCCCAGGGATGGCAAGAAGGTACCATGGGAGCCAGGTGGTGGCCAGGTTTGGTGGCCACGAGTGTCCAAATTTAGTGGCCCCAAGTGTCAGCGTCCTTGGTGGCCCCAAATGTCCACATTTGGTGGCCCCAAGCATCCAGATTCTTGGTGGCTTCTTTGAAATCTGGTGGCCCCAAGTGTCCTGATTTAGTGGCCTCAAGTGTCAGGGTCCTTGGTGGCCCTGAGTGTCCAGATTTGGTGGCCCCAAGCACCCAAATCCTTGGTGGCCCCATTGAAGTCTGGTGGCTCCAAGTG